CACACACACACACACACACACACACACGCACACACACGCACACACGCACACACTCACCACCACTTGCTCACCACCACTTGCTCTCTATTTGCCAGGAATGCAGGCCGTCCCCAGCGCTTCCTCCCCTGCATTCCTCAGGAGCTACTCCCACCTGGCAGGCAAATTACACCCTGGCCTGGCAATAAAAGCCACTTTTCAGAAAAAGAAGCTTTAGGGCCCCGAGAGACGCAGTTAACTCTCTCACACTGCTTGTGCCTGACTCAGAAGGTGGTGTCTGGGCCAGAGGAGCCAGGGTCCTGTGTCCCTTTAAGCAGGGAGTACAAATTCCCATCCCAGTCCCTCCCTCCTGCTTTTCCTGACGTCAGGAGGAAGGCGTGTGTGAGTGAGTGAGGGGCCTGAGGTGCCTGCCGCATGCTCACACACACACACACACACACATACACACACACACATACACGGAGTCACACACACAGCCCATCCCCTGCTCATCGCTCCAAGTGCCAGTGAGAAGCAGAGTGCTGAACCAGCTGCGAGGCAGCGCCGGACCTCAACTGCCAGGGAGAGGTAAGGGGCTAGGTGATGGGGGCCAAGGGCACAGCGGCTCTGGAAACAGGCTTTGGAGGGGGCGAAGGAGGGAAGTGCAACGTCGGGGCACTGGGAAGGTGGGCACCTCCCCTAGGGCTGGCCCAGCCCAGTTCAGCTTACAGGAGAGGCAGGGGGATATGTAGATGCCACCACCTGGCCATCCCACCCTCCTTGCCCCCCTCTCCTGGCCCCCAAGGGAAGCGGAGGCTCTGCGACTCCCTGTGCGAGAGCGTCTGTGTGTGTGTCTGAGTGTGTGTGTCTGGGACTTGTGTCTGGCTCAAGAGGCAGCAGACACCTGCCAAGCCGCAGCCTCCTGTCTGGGAACCAAGGGGAGAGAAATGACTGGAGAAATAATTGTGCTCCTACCAGACGCTGAAAGGCGAGTGTAGCAGGGAGCAAAAGAAGTCTTTCCGCCTGGAATTCAGGGCTGGGGCTGGGGCTGGGGAGGGACCATCTAGGGCAGGCAGACAGTTGGACCCGAAGCAGCTGTCTCATCCTGACTATTTCTTCCCCGGTGTGATGGGGATAATTGTGGTAATTGGCTTGGAGGGGTGGCTCCATGTTATTTTCCCCTTCGCCTTGGAGACACCCAGACCCCGAGCTCTTGCTTCTCCCGAGGCCACTCCTCTCTCTTGCCCGCTGGTCTGGCTATGACCTCCACCCTTGCCAGGGTGCAGCCCCTGGAGGGCAGGGGTGATAACACAGGGGCTGTTGGGCCCCCTGCTATGGGGTGCGGGACTGGGGCAGCTTTGGCTAGGGCCAAGTCCCTGAGGGCCTGACCCTCAAGGAGACCAGGCGGAGATGAGGGGCGATGCTGGCACCCACAAGGGAGACAGCAGGTTCCTGCCAAGCTGCCAGCCTGCAGGCTCTTCCCAGGGAGAGGGGAGAGGGACCAGAGCGAGAACAATAATAAATACAGTGTGAACTGCTGCATCCGCTGGGGCTGGGGGAGGGGAGGAGGACGTGTACCCGGGTGGGGGGTGGGCAATCTCTCTGAGAACCTGGCACCATGCCCGCCTGGATGTGCTCCAGTGGAAGCCTCAGCCTGGGAAGGGCCTGTCTCTAGCCCCCTGGTGATGGGGAGCCAGTTTCCCAAAACTGACTATCCAGGGGCCTCTGGGTCCTTCAAATTCTGGATGTTTTCTCCTCCCAACCTCCCCCCACCACCCCATCTCCCCCCGCCATTCCCTTGAAATCTTTTCCAGAAACACCTATGTCCCATATCTGCCCCGCCCCTCTGGATCTGTCTGACCCTTCTTCAAAAAAAAAGACAGGTGTGAACAGGAACCAGCACACAGGGGCCTTGGAGAGGCCAGAGGACAATCTTGGCCATAGAGGTTTCTCCCAGGCTTGGAGATAGATGGGTGGGTAGTGTTCACAGAAGCCCACTGGCCATGAAGGGGTGTCCCTAGGGGGCACTGGGGGGTCGCACACAGCTGGCTGGGAGGGGACACCCGCAGGCTGGTCTGGAGGCAAGTCCCCCGAGAGTGGCACCAGCAGAGGGCGCTCAGGGCTTGGCTGAGCTGGTCACGTCCACTGGTCACAACCAGCAGGGCCAGGACCCAGAGCCTGGTGGGAAGAGGGCTTGGGGCAATTTGGACTTTTGTCCGTGAAGAGTGTTAAGATGAGAGGCAAAAAGCAGTCAGGATGCAGAAAGCAGTGCCCCAAAGCCAGTGAAATGATGGTCACCAGGATGAGTGGTGTATCACATGGAAAGCTCAGGGGCTATGGGGTCACACTGATTTGAGTTCGAGCTCAGCCACTCTAAACGTGACTTTGGCTGGTCCATTCCCCTTTCTAGGGGAACTCAGAGTGGGAAGCAACTTGCTTAGGGTCACATAGCCCGGGCTCTCATGGTGCCCATCCTGGCATCCCTACCCCCACTTCCCAAAGAAGCCCCCAGAGCATCTTGGGCACATGACATGGAGGAGAGTTAAAGGGTCTCAGTTAAGCTCAAGTATTGGCTTGGGCAGCCCCCACTCACACACACACACACAAACACACACACACACACACACACGCTGTGGGAGGGGAAAGAACCAGGTTTAATTAGGTCACCTCCAGCTGCAGGAGCAGCTTCTGCACTGATGTATTTTAAGGAATGTCTGGGAGGCTGGGGGAGGGGGAAGGGCGCAGGAAGTGCCAGCTTCTGTCTGGTGGTCCTGAGAACCCTTTCCCTCCTCGAGCCCTCATGGACGAGACCCCAAAGTTCAGAAAGCCCTTCTACCGTCATCCTGTGTTCCCTGTCCTCCCCGTTTCTGAGTCACCATGCCCATTCCTCCCTCACTCTGCTCCCCCACAATGGGGGCTTGGGCTGGCATGTTTTTATTGAGGGAGTTGTTTTTGAACTTGCCTTAGTTGGCAAGTGACTCACCCAAGGTCATGGTCTGAGTCAGCACAAAGCCAGAAATAGAAACCCAAGCCCTCTCTTCCTTCTCCAGGGGAGGTGAGAGATTTCAGGGATCTGCTAGTCCTCTCTCCCCGCCTCCTGCCCCAGGCCTTTCTGTAACCCACCAAAAACATCTCCAGGGTGTAGAAGAGATGCCCCTGACCCGCTGCATGATCCCAGCAAGGCTCTTTACTTCTCTGGGCCTCAGTTTTCTCTTCTGAAGAATGGGGGTAATAACAGTGATTATCATGCGGGGTTGTTGTGAGGACTAAATGAGGAAATGGGGCAAAGGGCTTGGCACACCACTTAGCACGTGGTTCATGATCAATAGATGGTGGCCATGCTCTTGCCGTATCCAGACAAACTGCCCTGTGTTCTACTCGTCTGTCTGTTTCTCCTGCTGGACCGGGGCCCTCTAAGGGCAGGACTCTCTCCTCTCGTATTTGTTGTCCCAGTGCCTGGAAATCACATTCAGGTGTGTGTGTGTTTTTGACGACCTCAGAGGAGAGCTGGAGTGACCCTCATTGGTCATCTGGACCAGTGATGATTTGCATAGCTGAGGAGAAAAGTGAGGACCAGAGAGGTCACATAGCACTGGGTGGTTGGTCCAGCTTGCTTTCCCTGATCTGCCCAGAAGGAGGGAGGACCATTTGCATGGTCAAGAGAGGACTCTGACAGCCATCTCCTGCCCAGTTCTTTCTGGAGGAGCCGACAGTTGGAGGGGCCCCAACACCAGGTCATCTGCTGACAGGGCTGAATCACTATCCATAGCCCCATGACGCTGTATCACCGAACAGCCCTCTTGTCTTGTTTTTACTGCCCCACCCCCCATCAGGTCCTTTTGTCTGAAGAATTGCTGGGGTTTGGTGTGCATCACAGGGTGATGATAATCTTTACTGGGAGAGTCAGAACCAAAATACTCGCAGGTGGACCATTGACCCAAACTCCCCATCTCCTCCCATAACCTAGACAGGGTGCTACAGCCTTATTTGACAGATGTGGAAACTGGGGCTCAGAAAGGGAGGGTCTCTCAGCCAGGACACTGTAGAGCCAGGATTCAACCTGAGCCACATGGGTGCCGAGCTGTACTCTTACCCTCCAACTGCTAGTTTGGAAAGGTGTTATTCCAGGCCGCAGATGTCTCCAGATGGGCACACTGAATCCCTTGGGGGCTGGGCTTTAGCTCTGTTTGAGTTGAAACAAATGTTCTACAAACACATCTGTTTCTCTGCTCTTGGAGGAGTTAATTTTCCCCTTTAGTTTCTCAGGGAAAGTTCTTTCAGGAAAACTCCAGCCTCATCTTGGCTGAACCAGGAACAGAATTTATCCTCATAAGCACTGGTTGCCTTCAGAAGAATCTGACCTCTGTCATCTACCTGCTGTGTGACCTTGGGCAAATCACTTAACGTCTCTGAACTTCAACTTCCTCTTTTGTAAAATGTAAACAATTGTAATTTCACCCTTTCAGGGAGATTTAAAAATGGAAAGTAATTTCTGTAAAGACTTTACAATGTGGATAACATTCAAACAATGAAAGCTCTGTCTTCACGTGCCCCTTTCTGCAGCAATACTCTGGAGAAAGGGTCTAAAGCAGAGGTTTCCTCTGCATCCCTTTGTTCCTTTCTCCCTGGTCTCCCAGGCTGTCCCACATTGTGCAGCTCCTTCAAATCCAGGTCTCTGGCAGGGCCCAGAGAGCGCAAGACTGTCCAAGGTCACACAGCAAGTCAGGAGCAATGCAGAACCTGAACCCAGGACTCCTGACTTCCCACTCCAAGGCTCCAGAGTCAGATTGCCCTGGTACAAGTCCTGGCTCAGATGTTAATTGCTGTGTGGCCTTGAGTTACAGCCTTTCTGAGCCTCAGTTTCCTCGTCTGCAAAATAGGGTACTAATAGCACCAGCCTTAAAGGGCTATTGCAGGAATTTGATGAAAGGAGAGGCTATGAGGGGCAGGGTAGGGAGCTAGTGGGCAGGACAGTCCTTGGGGAAGCAAGGAAGATGAGAGGAAAGGTGGGTCTCTCGGGTCTCTCCTTCCACTCACGCCCTCTTTCCCCATGCCCAACTTAGCAGCCCCGTCTGTCCAGGAGGGGCAACTTCTCACCCAGCACCTACCCAGTGCTTCCCACATTCCATCCCAGTCCATCCTCACTGAAGCGCTCACCCCCATTTTCCAGAAGAGGAGGGAGATGAGGGGAGATCCCAGAGCAGCACTCAGGGCACCGTGGGGGCTGCAGGCTGGGGGTGGGTGTAGACAGGGCGCTGGAGGGGAGAAGGCCATTCTTGCTGTTATCCTGTCCCCTTCCTCTTCCTCTCTGCCACCTGGTCCATTTGGGGGAGGGGAAGAGAGGAGCTGCCCTCAATCCTAACCCTAGGTAATCAGTGCCTCTCTCCCCTTCCCCACCGCTTGCTTGCTTTGCATGAGGCCTAGGAGCCACGCTCAGCCTTGGGTCTGGAGGCCTGGCCCGGGGAGCAGGGCTGCTCAGCTGCATCTCCCTGGTAACCACTGTGGGCTGCCTCTGCCCCTCCCCCATCTCCCTCCCTCCCCTTCCTCCACGACCTCCCAGCACTGGCTGTCACCACCAAGCACAATACCAGGCCTGGGAAAACTGTACAGTGGGCAGGCCAGGACTGCCCTGCTTCCTGGAGGAAGGAAGGCCGGCCGAGCGTCTGTCCCCACCACCTGCCGCCCACACCCAGATGGGGCAGGGGGCACCCAGGAGTGCGCTGCAGGGTCTGCATCGCCCCGCTGTCCTGGCTGGGTCGTCTTGGGGAGCTCTGCTGCCAGTCTTCCTTTCTCGTAACAGCTTTATTGAAAAATAATTCCCTCGCCATGTAATTCTCCTGCTTAAGTTTAAGTTATTGGTTGTTAGTATATTCACAAAGTCGTGCAATATCAGTCGTCAATTTTAGGACATTTTCACCACCCTGAAAAGAAACCCTGTACCCATTAGAAGTCACTCCTCATTTTCCCTCCCCCTCTGCAACCCCTGGAACCACTCATCTACCTTCCATCTCTGTGGCTTTGCCTCTTCTGGACATTTCACATGAATGGAATCATGTAATATGTGGTCTTTTGTGACTGGCCTCTTTCACTCAGCATTATGATTCAAGGTTCAGCTGTGCTGTAGCAGGTTTCAGTGTTCATTTCTTTTTATGACTAAATAATATTCACATTTTGTTCATCCATTTATCTGTTGATAGACCTTTGGCTTGTTTCCATTTGGGGGCTATTATAAATAATGCTGCCGTGGACATTTATGTGCGAGTTTTTGTGTGACTGCTTTTCCTCTTGAAGCTTCAGTCTTCTTTCCTCTAAAATGGGATAAAAATGCTAAACCTGCCAGCCCCTACCTCGAGTGGGCTCAGAGGGAAAAACTCCACATCAGGGAAGGGGGCTGTCAGGGGCCGTGAGGGGCAGTTCTCACCCCCTGCAGTGCTACTGGCTGGAGGAGGGCATGTTGGGGGCCAGCGGAGGAGAGAGGCTTCATCTCCACCTCTAGGGTTAGCAGAGCCAGCTCATCACCTTGACCCAGAAAAGTTCTTGCTGTGTGACCTTGAGCCGGGGCCAGAGGACCTGCTCCAATGATGGAGGGTTGCACCCCTCGGCTCTTCCAGCCCTGCTGTAGTGTGTTTTGGGGCCCCCTGGGCTCTGGAGTCCTAAGGGGCGAATTCTTCCCTGGAAACTACAGTCTGGGGGTGGGGAGAGGGCAAGACGGAGGCCAGAAATAGACTTGGCTTGGGGATTCACCTGTGGCCCCAGGGCATCTGGGTGAGGGGTGGGGGAGCGAAGGAACGGCAGTGAGGAGGTGGAGAACTGCCACCCACCCCCACCCCTATATGAGCACAGACCACGGGCGCTCCTTATATTCTCCCCTTAGCCAAGCCTCACACAGCCTGTGAGGGAGTGAGGCAGGGCTTATCAGCTCCATTATCACAGATGAGGAAACTGAGGCTGGTGGACATGCCACCCAAGTCAGCAGCTAATATGCAGCGGAACTGGAACTCTCCTGGTCCAGGCATCCTGCGTGGCCCCCACTGTGGCAGACTGCCCGCCCCAGGCTCAGTCAACAGCTTGGCATCTTTTGGGGTTTAAGACTTCCCAAACCCTGGGAGGGGAGGTGGGTGAGTGCATGGGGTGGGAAACTACATTCGCTTTTCTCTGCAGGGAAAAATATAGGATCAGTTTTTTCAAGGTCATCCAGGCACTGAGCTGCAGATGTGAGAATTTCTATTGATTTGTATTGATAATAGCAATTTATTGGGTATCTATGAGATGCCAGAATCTGTCAGACACACTAAACCATTGAATCCTCGGTAACCTTGCATGGTAAGCACTTTCAGCCTCATTTTAGAAAGGAGGAGACTGGGGTTAGGGAACAATTGCCAACGTTCCCAAGAGCTCACCATGCTCTGCTCCTGTTCTAAGCATGTGGAAAATCACTGAACCCTCACAGCAACCTCTCTGTGAAATAAGAACCAACACTGTCCTCATTTTATAGAGCAGGAAACTCAGTCAAAGGCTATAAGTGCTGACCAAGGCCACGTAGCTGGTAGGTAGAGGAGCCAGGATTCAAACCCAGGCCACGTGAGTCCGGAGCCCACACTCTCACCACCACGTTGGAAGTGTTGAGTGGCTTGCTTGAGGTCACCAAATTACAGGTGACAAAGCTGAGATTTGAACCCAGGTCTGTGGATTTGAAGCTGCTAGCGGTTGTGCCAAACTGTCTTCCAGACCATCACTGGCCACTTAACCCATCCCACCTCCTAGGCCTCCAAGTTAAAGAACTGCACCTCAAGCTGGAAGGACTTTGAAGTTAGCCTTAGACAGCTTGGACCACCATAACAAAATGCCACAGATGGGGGTTTAAACAAGACAGACATTTACTTCTTACAGTTCTGAGGCTAGATGTCCAAGATCAACGTGCCAGCATAGCCTGGTTCAGTTGTAGGCAGCCCCTTCCAGCTGTGCCCTCACAGGGCAGGGAGAGAGGCGGCAAGCTCTCCAGGGTCTCCCCTTCTAAGGGCACCAATCCCATCATGGGGGCCCCACCCTGCTGACCTCATCTAAACCTAGTTACCTCCCAAGGGTCCCATCTCCAAATACCATCACACTGAGCGTTAGAACTTCAACATATGACTTTAAGGGGAACACAATTCAGCCCACAGAAAGGTTGTGTGGCTTTTTGTCTTTTTGGTGAGGACATTGAGTCAAGCAGAGGCTGTGAGTGATCTGAAGCCACCCTGTAAGGAGTAGCAGGCAGCCCCAGCCCTTCAGCCTCGTGTCCAGAAGCCGCCCATCCTGGACCACACTCAGCTGTACCTCTCTTTCCTCCTTGCAGACGGAGCCTGTGGCTGGTGAGGCCGCCGAGCGGGGCCAGGCCGGGCCCTGCCCGCAAGGACGCCCTTCACCGGCCTCTGTGCCCAGGAGCCCATCAGGCTCTCCTGTTGGCCCTGCCATGACTTCGGAGCCCACACCGTCCCCAGTCGTGCCACCGCTGCACTCCCCCAAGTCCCCTGTCTGGCCCACCTTCCCCTTCCACCGGGAGGGCAGCAGGGTCTGGGAGCGGGGCGGTGTCTCATCTAGGGACCTGCCCAGTCCCCTGCCCACCAAACGGACCAGGACATATTCAGCGTGAGTATCAGCCCTCGCCCAGGCTCTGGTAATCTTTCCCTGGGACCGGGCTCCAATTGGCGCTGCCCAGGTGCTCTGGGTGGATGAAACAGCCTGGGCAAAAACAGAGACATGGGGTCAACCTTTGGAGAGGGGTGGGCAGGCTGACAGAGACCAGCCCTGGGCCTTTGGGGTAGGTCGCTGGGTGGAGTCAAATTGGGGAGGGGGTATGTGGGAGCCACAGGGAGACTGACCTGGCTTGGGCAAAGAGGAGTTTTTGATGCAAGTGCTGTTTGTGCCCTGTGTCCAACCCAAGGCCAGGCACAGAGCAGAGGCTTAATAAAAGATGAATGATGAGTGAATGACAAGTGAGTGAACAGGATGGATACTGCTACTTCAACAGTTAGTGAGCTCCCCATCGTGGGAGGTATTCAAGCCTAGGCTGGACATTCTTCACTCAGAGATCTTACATCAGGAATCAGTGTAAGCCCAAACCACCTCAGAAGGGGAGTGTGCTGTGCAGAGAGAGGGGCACTGTTTGGGTGTCAGGAGACCCACCTGCTGTGCACCTTGGGAGAGCCAGTTCCCCTCTCTGGGCCTTAGTCTCCTTATTGTCCAATGGGATGAGGAGAGGACTGAGCTGGTCTAACAATGGGCAGTTTTTGGTCTGCGGAGGGTTTTCCACAGTCCTGAAGCAGGCTCTGCAGGCAGGGCCCAGGAGGGCCACGGGGCTCCAGGGAGGGGTTCCTCAGGCCACAGTTCCATTCCCCCTACCTTATCTTCAGGACAGCCCGTGCCTCAGCTGGCCCCGTGTTCAAAGGTGTCTGTAAGCAGTTCTCACGCTCACAGGGCCACGGCTTCATCACCCCCGAGAACGGGTCCGAGGACATCTTCGTGCACGTATCTGAGTGAGTCCCCCCAGCCCCCTGTTCGTGGCTGGGCCCCTGCTGCAGTGCCCCAGCAGGGCCTCAAGAAGGGCCTCCCTAGGCTCCTCCCCTCACTGGCTAACGTCTGTTCCCGGCATGTTTCTCCTGTCATAGAGCCTACGGGCGCACGGGTGGGGAGGGCTGAGCCAGGTGAAAGGGAGTGCTCAGACCCCAGAAGCCTTGGGCACCAGGGGCTGGGTCCTGGGACCCTGTTTCTGTATCATAGGGGCTGAGAGGGCTGGGCCAGTCCCTGGATCTTTCAGCCTGGAGGGTAGGCCAGAAGGTAGGAGAGGTGGTCTAGGCCTGGCCCCCAGCCCTAATGCCAGGTGTGACCTCACGAGGTCATTGGGCTCTAAGCCTCGGAGACCTCCCTGAGCCCTTTTACATCTCACTTTATAGTTCAGGACTGTTTATGATTCCCATTTTACAGATCAGAGAACTGGGGCTCTGAGACGGGAAGCTGGCTCAGGCTCCCCGACCTAGCTAAGCCCAGCGCAAGGCCTCCCTCAGGTCAGACCACAGGGGTCGTCCTGGGAGTGGGGCCTGTGGGGCTGACACCCCTCTCCCGCTCACCAGCATCGAGGGGGAGTACGTGCCAGTGGAAGGCGACGAGGTGACCTACAAGATGTGCCCTATCCCGCCCAAGAACCAGAAGTTCCAAGCCGTGGAGGTGGTGCTCACCCAGCTGGCCCCACACACTCCCCACGAGACGTGGTCCGGCCAGGTTGTGGGCTCCTAGGCTGGGCGGCTCACGTGCCAGCTGCTGGGCGGGTGGGGAGCGACTCTGGGTAGATGGGCAGCAGTGGGTTCCATGCCCCACTGCACTGGCTGACCAGGTCCCTGGGGCAGCCTCGGTGTGCACATCTGTCTGTCTGTGCTTGTGGCCGTGAGTGTGTGCCTCCATCCACCCCCGTGACTGTCGTGAGCTGTACCGAGGCCACCAGTCCTGCCTTCTCTGCTCATCACTCCTTCTTCCTCTCCCCGCCACACAGCACAGGACCCTCTTGCCCTCCTAACACCCGACAGTGTGGCCACAGGGCCTCCAGGGCCTGTGTCAGGCCTGGGGCTGGGAGTCTGGGCAGCAGCGGGGCCCCGTACAAGCCTGCTCCCCTAGCCTGTGTCCCATGCCTGGCCCCGGGGCCAGACTCTGCTTCTGCTACTCACACCTCCCACCCTGCGCTGGGGTCTCCCACTGTGGCCTGGACCCCTCCCCTCAGAAGCCAGGCCAGTGAGTGCTTTGTGGGAGCCTCCCGGCCTCTCGCAGGGGAAGAAGACAAAACCTGGAGGCAGAAAGCCCCCTCCCCACTGCCAAGGCCCAGTCTGCTTTCCTTCCTTCTCTTCCTCAGCACACTGGAGAAGCAGGAAAGGCAGTTTGGGGGCTCTTGTTTTGCCAGCTGGTCCCTCCCCCTCAGCCTGGCAAAAGCTCTGTGAACCCCAAACTGAGGCCATGTCCCCTACCCTGGGCCACGCTGAGCCTCACTGCCTCCACTCCGCCTGAGGAGGCACTGGTCTGCAGAGGGGTGGGGATATGTCTCCCCTAGTTTGGTTGGAGCCGTGCTCTTCGTCCTGCCTCACAAACCCCACGGATGCTCTGCTCATGCTGCTGAGGACCCAGCAAAGGACAGACCAACATCCCCACAGGCAGGGCCAGGCAGGGGCACCCACCAGAACAGCCCTCAGGCTGGGAGACCACCAGCCTTGCAGCCCCCTTGCTGGGCCCTCTTCTGAAAACTGTGGGACAGTGTCTCCTGCTGGTTCCCAGTAGGCCAGAGGCTGAGGTGTGGTCCCTGTCTTGTCCATCCCTTAAGACGTGTGGTGTTCCTCTCACCTGGAGTCCTGTGGGCCAGGACGTGTGTTTGTGTGCATTCAGTCTTGGGCAGGGGGTTGGCCTGGCCTGGGAGGACAGGAAGGGGGGCTCTGCCTCCCCCTACTTCCACCCGACTCCCTTCCAGAGAACACATCACCTGATGGGGGCAGAAATGGGGTTCAAGAGAGGGCCTGCCAGGGAGTGATCCTTTTGAGACCCAGTCTGAGTGAAATGGGGACTCAAATGCCCAGGATGGGGGGTCAGTGACTGTCTAGGAGGGTCCTTGGCCCTGTTATGTAGGTGCCCCAAGGCCCCAGGGTGGAGACCAGCTGGGGTATGTGCAGCTCTTCCCTGTCCCCACCACAGAGGTGGGAAACTAGAGCTGCTAAGGTGTGCTGGCCCGCCCCCTAAACTCAGAATGGCCAGCCTAGCTGACACCTCACCCTGCGCTGGGGCTACTCCAGCAAGGCCTGACGCCTTTGCTCTGAGAAACGTAGCTCCCTGGCTTCCTTGGCTGGTTTATTGGTGCCAGTTAACTCCTAGAAGCCCCCAGGACACCCACCCCAAGAGTAGGCCCCCTTCTTAGGCACTAGCCAGGGAGCACCAGCCCTGGGGCTGCCCCACTCATGGCCCCACGGTGTCCCGTCAGACCTCGTCCCGGGACCCACCAGCCACCTGGACTCCCCCAACCTTCCTAACACTGGCAATAAACCCTCAACTGTGACTCAGCCTAGCCAGAGATGCCTCTGTCTGTCTGGGTCCGAGGGGAAGCGGCTTGGGAGGACACCCCAAACAGCCCTTGTTTGGGGCTTCAATGGCCCACCCTCCTCGGCTGTATCAAAGACTCCCTGTGTGACCAGGGTAAGGCCCTGCCATCTGTGCCTGCTTCCTCATCTGCAAAGCGGGGGCAGGAACAGCACCTGTGACGAGGGCCAGTTAGCCACCCAGACAGAACTGACCCCGTACCTTGTCGTGGGAACTTTAATATCTGTGAGATAAAGTTCTCGAAAATATGCACCTTCCCAGTGCTCTGCCCCCATCCAGGGCAGGCAGGGCGGGCTCTGTCTCGTACCAACGCTCGTACACGCCTCCTGCATAGACAGAAACCTGTTCTGTTCAGAAGAACGAGCAGCAGCTGTATCCAGGGCCAGAGGTGGAGGGTGGGAGCCGGTCCCATCAGTGCTGACCGGTGGGGGACAGCTGTCCACAGACCCTAGGCCCGCTGAGGTGGGCCTTCAGCAGGTAACATGAGGCAGGCATCCTGGGCCAGAGGAGGGGCCTGGCACACCACTCAACACCAGGGCCGGGGCTCTCTTCAGGCCTGGGCGGAGCTTTCTGGAAGTCCCAAGGGGCAGGTGTGGTCCCTGGTCATGCCTCGTGGGCTGTCTCTGGAAAAAAGATCTCACGGCATCGCTGCACTGTGTCCTGTGGGGACACCACACTGTGGCCAACGGTCCGGGGGTCGGTGTAGATCTCAAAGTCGTTCCCACCCTGCACACAGAGGAAGGGCAGAGAAGCCATATAGACATATGTGGTGCCTGGTGGAGGCTCCCAGGGTTATGCCCCAACACCCACCCTGGCATGGAGTCCCTTCCCCACACTGGCTCCTACAGGGCTGCCCCTCCTCCTGCCCCCTCAGAACTGCCAGCAAGCCCATCTTCTGGGCCTTCACCAGATCTGCCCTGACTTGCTGTGTGACATGGGGCAAGTGTCCAGCCAGCTCTGGGCCCCAGCCTTCCAATCTGTGTAATGGGGCTGTTCTCTAGGAGTTTCCCAGGAGGTCTGTTCTGTCACCCTGTATCCTGGCCTTGATCTGGGGGTGACTTGGGATGAGGGGGACTCGGATTGAGCCTGAGCCACACTCACGGGGCTGGTCTCGTTCCCAAAGAAGTGGATGGTGTCGAAGCTATCCTGATCCAGGCTGTCCAGGCAGTAGCGCTTGTCCCAGCCCTCAGGGAAGATGTCAAAGCTGATCATGCCACCTGCAGGGTGGAAGTTGGGGTGGTAGATGAGGCTAGCACAGGGGCAGCTCACAGGGAGCTAGGGGCACCCTCTGTTCATTCATTCAGCAACCCTTGAGTGTCTACTGAGCACCAGGCAGAGGGCGTGGATAGACTCAGGATCCCCATGGGGTTTCAATCCAGGTGGGAGAAAGGGTGGTAAGTGACCAGACCACCTCAGAGCATGGAAGTCAACGGGGCAAGCAAACTCCCCAGCCAGTATGATCGGGGAGACCTCTCCGAGGTGACACTGAGCTGAGACCTGAGCCAGAGCAGCAATTGCTGGGGAGCAAGCACAGTCTCCAAGGCTGGGAAGGGTGTGGAGTGTCCCAGTGACAGAGAAAGCTGGGAAAGGGCTGGGGCAAGGGCACACGGGCCCTGGGGTGCAGGGAGAGGGTTTCATTAAGGGTGAGGAGGTGCTTCTGAAGGGCTCAAAGCAGGGGTATGATAGGGGCTGTCTTTCCATAAGGATCCCTCTGGCCACTGTGGGGAATGGACCGTAGGGTCATGTGGCAGTGGGAAAGGCTTTGGTTTTTGACCTGAATCACTGGGTGGGGAAGCCTAGGGGGCCAGGAGGGGTTTCTAAAAACTCAGGAGTGAGGCCCTGGGTGTGCTCCTGTGCCAGACCTCAGGCCCTGTGCAGGGTATACATACCTCGGGAGAACCTTAGACCTTTGCCAGCAAACTCTGTTTTCAAGGCTTCCACAAACTTCTCCCGGATCTTCTCCTTCTGTAGGAGGGGAGGGAGCAAACTGGGGTTCAGAGGGCTGTGTACCAGGCCCTGGGCTGGGCACAAAATTCATGTGAGCTCCCTGAGAATTCCAGGTGGATTATCATGACCCCCTAACTTTACAGATGAGGAAATTGAGGCCTGGAGAGGGGCTATGCCTTGTTTAAGGTCACCCAGCCTCAGTGGCAGAGCCAGAGCCTGAATCCAGAAGGTCTGTAACTGAACACAGTGCCAGATCCTGCCAGTGTGGTATGGGCGGGGTACTCTGAAGGGAGCCTTGGAGTGGAGGAGGGTTGAATGTATCTACAAACACAGAATAAAGGGACACTCACTCACTGGCCTGAGGCTCCCCAGCCTGGCCCTGCTGGGACCACAGAGGGGAACAGCCATGCCAGGCCTGGAGGGGCAGCCCTCTTGGCTGCTGCACTGATGGGGGCCGGTGCCCCAGGAGTGGACCAAGTGCCTAGCCCTGTGCTTTAGTCAGTCAGTGATGGGAAGGACTAGAATGGGAGGAGAGGCAGGCAGTGGCCAGCAGTTTGGAGCCTGGAGAAGTGGTCCAGGGAGTGCATAAGAGATAAAGGCAGGCTGCCTGGGTTCCAGGCTTGACTGCTGTGCCTCCTGGCTGTGTGACCATGGGCAACTCGCCTGACTTCTCTGAGCCTCTCTCCTGGGCTAAAGGATGGAAAAGTGATGAATAAACTCTGCTTGACATTCATGAAAAGCAAGGATGAGGGATGTGACCCTTCCTGGCAGCCTGGGCCTTGTCTTCCCAGCAGGCAGGTGGGCTCCCAGGGAGGCCAAAGTCCCTATCAGAGGCCACTCTGTGGGCCCAGGGTTAGAGCTAAGGGTGTCCCGAGCTCTGAATAAATGTTCCCACGTGGCCCAAGATGGCTGCACCTCTTGTCTCCATAGAACCAGGCTGGTCACTGGAGAGTCCCACGTGCCACGTCCAGCCTCAGCAGAGACCAGCACTGTGACCTCGAGCTGGCCACTTACCCTTTGGCCTCAGTGTCCTCATCTGGAAAAGGGGACTACTTGTCCTCAGGGCCTGAGGGGCTGAAGGAGAATAAAGCATTTATATGGAATCTGGGCTGATGCAGGGGACACAGGAGGTCAGGACACTCCTGAGCTTCTCTAATGTCAGAAGGGAGCAAACGAGAGCCAAAAAGACAAGACAAGACCATGGCAGCTGTGAGTACAGCCAGCATGTGCCAGACCTCCAACTTGCCCCACCCTCACTGCAGCCCATGAGATGGAACTGTGATTACCCCCACTTTACAGATGAGAAAACAGAGGCACACAGTGGTGAAACCAATTTTCCAGATTACTGGGCATGTAGGAGGTGGAGCGCTGGGACTGGAAACCTGGGTGGCCTGGGAAAGGGCCCCCTCTCAATACGTGTGTGGGAGGGGGTCTTGGCCAATGTCAATCTTAACCACTCTAACAAGGAAAGTCTCCAGGCTTGTGTGCATTGCCTACCCTACGCCTCAGGCACAGGGTGAGAATGGGAACAGATCATCACAGCAAGTCCCACCTAACCCTTGGGACAAGGCAGCAGGGGGAGACCCAAGTTCAGATCTGCAATTACTCCCTGTGTGACCTAGGGCAAGTCACTTCCCCTCGCTGAGCCTCAGTTTCCTCATTCATCAAATGGGGATAACACCATCTATTTCATTCATTCCATAAGTATTTCTTGTGTCAGGCAAGTGCTGGGCACAGGGGATCAGCAGTGAGCAGCTGCAGAAAACTTAGCCCTTAAGGAGCTTACAGCTCTGGTGTGGGAGACAGGAACTAGCCAAGATTTTAAAAGTAGGTGACACAGTGTATTAGAGGGTGGTGACAGCTGCTTGGGAAGAAATAAAACAGAGGAGGAGAGCAGGAGGCATAAGGGGGTGCAGTGTCATGTGTAACATTTAGACTGGATGGCGTGAAAAGGCTCAATGGACTGACTCCACCCCTGAAAGGGAGGGGGTGTGTGCCGGGGATGACAAGCCACATGCATGTCAAGGTTTAGCAGGGGCAGCATAGCCAAAGGCGACAGGGACCCTGGTGTGTTCCAAGTACAGATGCACAGGGAGAAGGCTGGAGAGGTGAGCCTGAGCCAGGCAGAGCCCTCAGGGCATCACGGGAGGGGGCCAGGACACTGTCCAGTTGGCAAGGAGACCCATGGAAAGATTGTAAGCAGGGAGCGGACGGGGGCAGATGTGCTTCACAAGATTTTCAGTGGCCTTGCTGGAGAACAGGCTGGCGGGGTTTTATGGAGGGGGTGGGGGTGAAGGGGTTTGAGACCAACTGGAGGCTGAAGCACTGGGAATTACTGTTGAACCTGATGGGGTGGGAAGGAAGAAATGATGCCCTAGGTGTTGGCCTAGGTAAGTAGGTGGCTGGTGGAGCTGGTCACCAAGGGAGGGAAACCAGCTGTGCTGGAAAGATGCAGAAGTGCCTACAACCATGGCACATGGGAGGTGTCCAAAAGAGTACAGGTTGAATTAGAACACCACCCACAACCAATCCATTTCACTGATGAGAAAACAGAGGCTCAGGGACGGTGAGTGACTGAGGCCCTAGAGCCCAAGGCCGCACAACTGGTGGCACCTTGTCCAGTTCGGAGAACTCGATTCTTTCCTCCAGTGTACAGCTCCGGCCGATAGGGGAGATGTTCAGCATGCCATTCCGGAACTCGATGAAGGTTCCACTGGTGGTGAAGAGGGTGGGTGGGAGGGTGGGGAGCCAGAGAGAAGGAGAAGGGCCCTGAATTCAAATCCAGCCTCACCACCCACCAGTAAGTCAGGGCCAATCTGAGAGACGCATCCCCTTCCCCCCTCAGGCCCAGGATTGGGAGGAGGGGTGGGACTCAGGCTGGGCGGGATCTCACCGCTTCTTGGGAAGTCTGAGCAGGGCCATGTAGCGGAGGCAGAAGTTGATCAAGTCCTGCAGGAGTTCCTCCCCCAAGTGGTTCTGGATGGTCTAAGCAAGGAACACAGGGCTCTGAGTGTGGCTGGC